GTGTATTGCATCTTATCAGGCCTTAGATGTGGTAGCTTCAGTGAATTTAATTTTTTTTTCAGGCTAAGAACACTTCAGAAAGTACAGAAAATGCCTACAGCTCTTGCCCGAAATGCAGTGTCCTTTTCGCTTTCTGTGAGAGACATCTTCTACTCCTAAGCCCCCATTTAATGTAGATGAACAAAGGCAGACATATTTAAAAGTCCAGCCTGGGTGACAATCATGGCACCATCAACAGATACAGTTAGGAGTGAATGTAGCCACCCAGGGGTAAAAAGTGTGTTATGTGCAGGATGACCAGGTTAAAATGCAGAAAAAGAAAACTAAAGCAGCCATGTAATATAAGGACTAGTGAATTGCATAATATTACACTTTTGTTTTTTGGGTTTAGAGACACTTGCAAGCAGACTGGTGTGAGCTTTTGTGAAAAACGCAGCCTAGCATTAGTCAATCAATGGACTGCCAAAGGGTAAGCAAAAGTATGTAAATATTTTACACTTGAAATGCTTTTCCCATATGACTGCCCTGCACAGAAACATGAACAGCATTTACATCCATCAGCATAGCAAGCGAAGGGCAGAGAGTGTACTCCAGAGGGAAAAGGGAGGAAGAGATTTATTCAGGGTGGTCATTATTCACTAAGAGCCAGCTTGAATCCACTTCTCTTTATTCCAGGAAGTCCTGTAAAATTAGAAAATAGGACACATACAGGCTGGAAGGTTGGCATTCCATTAAAAAGGGACCCACAGACAGCTATGTATTGGCAGCATATTATCTGCTAACTGCAGGAAACTATGTTTCACACAAAATGCAGTTATCCTTTAGACCCTGTAAACATATGTGCATTTTAGGTGCTGTATCTTTTATGTACTTTCATGGAAACTAAAAGGTATATAAGGAGAGGGGATTTACTAAAACCAGAGCACTCAGAATCTGGTGCATGGTAACCAATCAGCTTGTAAGCTCAGCTTGTTCAATTAAGCTGGAAGCTGATTGGTTTCTAGGCAAAGTTGCACCAGATTTTGCACACTCCAGTTTAGTAAATAACCCCCATAGCATTCAATGGTAACAACCTAAAACGTGACAAACATAAAACTCACCGCACAGATATGAACCAAGTCTCAACTCAGAGTCAGTCAAGTGTTTACCAAGAAGTAAAAACCAAATTCCTGGATATTTTATGATCCAAAGACAACAAACAAGTGTTGGTTCACACTGGACAGCAGTTCAGGAAACCCATGTTCCGTGCTCATTCAAAACATGCAGTGTCCGCGATCTGCAGTAGGTGTCAGTGTAAAGTTAATGACTCCCCAACTGCAGATTTTAACCATACACTCGATACCATACATTGAAAAATACCACCCCGTCCCTTACACTCCCTGTCCCATTTTGATAAAATGACAAAGGCAATGCTATTTTCCTGCCTGTCAGTCTGCATTGGATGCACTTCAACTCCCAATTACTTTGAGCAGTATAAGAAGTCCTAACTTACAAATTCAAAATGAATGGTCTTAAAGCAGAATTTCAAACTTACACTAATCTTAAAAACGGCTCCCTCCTCACACCATCCATGTGGAAGAGAGATGTATATATTTACCTATTCTCAGGCCATGTGATCTCCCCTCTGTGTCAGCCAGTGCCCACTACAGGGGAAAGCAGAAGGCATCTGACGGCTGGAATGCCGGAGCAGTGACGTCACCTATAGGCCTACTATGGACCATCTGTTGTCAGTGTTCCCTCCTCTCCCTTGAAGTTTCTGCTAGCTGACAGAAGAGAGTCCATCACATGACTGGACCAGAGGAGCCTGAGAATAGAAGGGGGGTAGGAGCAGTTTTAACATTAGTTCATAGAAGAGCGGAATTCCACTTTAATTCATCAGGTGCACAAAGAATAAAATATCAGGGAAAAAGAGGCCTGCAGTTTTATGTCCAGGTCCCTCACGTAGTATGCTCAGACCATTGACCTCCTGGTATTTCACAGGATTACCTGCTAGGCAGCCAGCTAAAGAAGAAGGCTGAAGCATGTTGGCTCTCTACAACCTGTGCCTAGAGACTGGAAGACACTAAGGTGTTTTGGCAAATACGGGGCATTTGAAACTTCTCCGTCCCATTAGGTATGCACACACTTTGCAATCTGCTGTCAGACTTTGTACATTTAATTGTCCAAACTTGTCAAAAATACTTACAATAAGATTTTTTTTTCTTGTTTTAAAATATTTAAAAACTAGTAAGACAACCATATAGTTATTCTAACTGTATTCAAAACACTACACAAACTGTCTAAAAAGTAGTTATGATATTTAACTTTAAGCCACAACTCAGAGCATGTATGATTTCTGTCATTCTGTATCTAATACTGAACGTCAAGTAAGAGGAGTCCAGTCTGTGCAGTTGAGTGAACAACAGGCAGGTGGGGTATAATGAAAACTAACCCAGTGAAAAGATTAAAAAAAAAAACAAACTTCTCAAAATAAGTTTTTAGAACACTGAAATATAATACAACACAATTAATGTTAGTAATTTCTAAACAAAAAGACAATATAGATGTAAAATTGGGTAATGAAATAGCTTGATTACACCAATACATAAAAATGGACATACATTAGTGCCCTTAGACTTAAAACAAGTGGATTTATATGAAACTAAAAAGTAAAATGTGCCCCATGCACTTTGTACTGTTCAAAAAACATTTAATTTGTTGCAAAAGGTCTGAATTATTTAATGAATTAAGTAAGGACACAAACATTAAACCAATATTGCTAATAATAGACCTGCAGATTAGTGTCGCAGACTGAAAGAAAATCCGATTCTTTAACAGTCCGGGGTATTGTGTGTCTGGAGTGGAAATAGGGCAGTGCATGCGGGGGTTGTTATCCTTAGGAAATGCCCATTCTACAATGCCTGCAGGACTTAAAAGTAGACAGAATGCCCAGATTAGCACAAGTATTTACAGTACAAACATCCTTCTGCCTCTAGCAGTGCCGGTGTTACGTATGCTCATGCCTCTCATAGGTTGTGTAAGAGCACCGATTTATTTGGATGAAACCCCCAGATCAGCTATATACCAAACATATTTGTTGTTACAGAGCACCTCATACACAGATCAAAGAACTTCTAACCAGAACAGGCTGTGTAAAAACTTTTAGGGGGGGGATATATCTATCTCTCTATCTATCTATCTATCTATCTATCTATCTATCTATCTATCTATATATATATATATTGATATGCAGAGACTAAAAAGCAAACAGCTACTGGCCCTGCACTCCACAATTCAGATGAAGATGTGCTTAAGTATAAATTATAAAACACTTTCTGTCCCCTTTGCTACATCACAACATAAACCTCTAGTAGACAAAACAAAATAATTACCTTTTTATATCTATGCATACATGTACATCTACTCACAAACCACCTTAAAATCTTTCCCTAGCGCTAAACCTGCTAAATGAACAGGACTGCGTTTAATGGTTGGGTATAAACACTGAAATATTAGCAATGTATATCTTGAACAGATGCATTTTTACCTTTAATACATGTTCAAATAAATACAAACCTACTTGGTAAACAAATTATACAGAACATGCTACATACACGCCATATAGTTTGTTTACCAGGCAGATTGAACCTATCATTTGTTTACTATTACAGAGGCTCATAAAAGCTACTTTTGACCTATGCCAGACACATGCTACAAATTTCCAGGCCAGGAATCTCGGTATGGTAGGAGCCCCTTTAGAAGCCTGGAAATACTTAATGAGATCAAAGCCTCCCCCCTCCCTCTTTCTTAACTCCTAGCTTTAGAACAAAGAGCATATTTTAAACTTCTCAATTAGTCACATTTCTTGAACAATATCTCCACAACTAATTTAATTTTAGAGTCACAAACAAGTGTTTTTTTTCTTTTTTTTTATGTGGGTAAGTATGTTCAAATAACATGAAATTCAATATTTTGATTTAATTACATAAAACATGCATAGTGTAGCTATAACAGGACATCCAGTAATCTCACATGAGTTTTGTATTCATCCACAAAGGTTGCCCATAGACAGATGTTTCACTGAGAATGACGGTTCTCAGGACATCTGTATGTTCTTTGGGACAGAATCTGCAGTGATCTCAGCATTTGTGTTAACCATGCACAAGCAATAATACTAATGTTCCCCTTTTCTCCACAGAAAAGAGAGCCAACTATGCCATTCTGCACAGTAAAGCTCTGTTTGCACCAACAATCACTTTGCTGGATCAAAGACACTATCTTTGCCAGGTCATCACATACTACTAATTAAGAGCATTGCTTGCAATGATTGGGCTGTGTATGGTCACCCTTTGGTCAGCTCATTTAAAAAAAAAACTGGATGTATTGCAACACACTAAAGTGAAAAAAAAAAGTTTTATCTGGATAAAAGCAAAAGAAGAAACTGTCCTAATATAAAAATCATAAGAGACGGAAATCACACAGTGGGGAAGAAAGCAAAAAATCAGTGCAATACATTTTAAGACAGTGATCTGAACACTGCCTGTATGATTTTAATGCTGATTTGATTGAAAGCAGATGGAACAACATTACAACCCTGCCGGTGAACCTCAAAGTCTAAACAGGAAACAAGAATCTTACTGGCTAGAAAGTGCTGTTTTCTTAATCATTCCCAGAAATTCACTTACTAATTTTTTTTTATTTTTTTTTAGCAATCAGAAGCACCATTACTTTTCCTCTCTTACAAACTATTATACAAAGTATCCTAAACACAATTTATCATGTAAAAACATAATTAGTTACATTTAACTGACATAGTATTGAAAAGCCAATACAATGTAAATTAACATGTTACAACACTACAAGCAGAACAAAAACATAACTCGCTTTCTACCGATCATCAAACGTTAGAAAACAAATCTAAAAATTGTTCTATGCCTGAAAGAAAATGAACCAAGCCTTCAGAGTTTTAGAACGAAGCTCAGCAAGAAGCAATGAAGAAACACACATCTAAGTCATCTTACCGTTTTCCCATTGTAATAGTACATCAAAGAATTAGTGGCCACTCCAGGCACAGGGTACGCACAATACATGTTGTTACAAAAGATGTTCTATGTAGCAGTTAAAGTGCACTTCTTCAATCCCAGGAATACATCCACCCGATCAAACAGTAATTCCACCAATACTACGCTTACACAGGCGACACATGGATCTACTCAGAAGAAACTTATGCAAAGCAGGGCTAAACCATCCCACAAAGAAAAGGAGGGAGGGTGACATACAGTAATCTCTTTCAGCCTCGCTCACACCCACATTTGTGCAGTGGTAATGCCTCCAGGAAAGCTTTCCTTAGAATGAATTCACTGTTCCACAATGTTGTCACCTTAGTAAAGAGAGGGCTAGGCTGGGCTATAGTGTGTGCACAAATATTAGTGAGAAACGGGATGTAGATGGCTAAATCACTGCCTTGTTAATCTCTCTCTTTTTAATTAAATTTTAGCACTTGTGGCAGCTGGGACATAGCATATTCTAGAACTGCAACACTACCATCTGCTAGAGTCTGACCGAGCCACCAGCCTTCTAACAACTGAACACTAAAACTCATATGATTATTGCCAGCAACATATTTCATGCATTCTGTATGATATGGGGAGCTGTGTTCCCAAACATTTGATAGCATTCTAAAGCACATAGACAAATGACAACACTTACTGTGTGCTATATTAGAGGGAAAAAAAAAGTACAATACGTAAAATTATTTTACAGAAAGATTTTTCCAAACAGCCCAGAACAAGAAAAAGAAAGTATTTTCATCAACATTTGAATTAAATGACTTAATACAAAGCAGAAATGAATGAATAAAGCCAATCAAATCAAGCAAAAAAAAAAATACATGGACCCTTTCATATTACAATGCAGTATGCTGCAGGGAGCAATACGTTATGCAATTCAATTAAAAGTGTGTTGCAGCCCATTCAAGTGTCACTTAAAACAGTAGTAATCCGCAAAAAAAAAAAAAATTGGGCCCCTGCAAAGCAATATCATAATGTGCTAGTATGCATCACATACTAGCACATGACATACTAGCACATGACAACCTTAAAGGATAAGTTCACCTTTTGGACAAAAATAATAAATGCACATTTTTTTGCAGGCAAAAAAAAAATGTGCATTTATTATTTTTGTCCAAAGGAGCCTGTAAAGCATTGCGCCAGCGACTAGTAGATTGCTGATGCCATGCAGGTCCCCTGCAGACCTGTCAGAATACCTGCTAGCCATACGGGATGTACAGCCAAGCAGATATTCTGACAGGAAGCTTGAATGAACTACCACAGCACTCCACAGCAGCGTGGTATTTAATTGAAAACTACAAGCCAACAGATGCTAAGGCTGCTGGGACTTGTAGGCACTCATCCACAGAACTCTGTGAATGAGTGACGCTGCCATGTGGGTGGAGCCCTGCATGGCTACGCAGTTTTAAGATCTGACAGGTATCATGGGGAAACTACGGGGGGGGGTTGTGCACTGCTGCAGCTATAGGAACATGCTACAAAAAAGGGTGGAACATGTTCTCAGAGGTAAACTCATCCTTTAGACCTCCAGTGACGTGGGCTTCTATTTTCACCCAGTCTTCCTTCTGAGTTTGCGAGCTCCAGCCCTTTGAATGTCCAAGCTGTGATGACATAATTCCCACTACAGTAAATATCACCTAAACTGTGAACGGTCAGGAGATATTTACTGTACATACAGGTAAGCCTTATTATAGGCATATCTGTAGGTAAAAATAAAAAAGACTTTACTACCCCTTTAATCTTCCTTAAAGTATAACTTTAGATAAAACTTTTTCTTTCCATTTTGGATAGAGAAAGGAGGGTTATAAACACCTGTCGTATTTTTTTTTTTTGCCATCTGTGGTAATAATGGTAAAACAGGACAAATGACAGGGTGAATCCCCTTAAGGTGGCCACAGCAGTAAGAGCTGAGAAACATTCTAATCCCTCCCCACTCTATCCAAAACTAAAAAAAAAAAGTTTTGAAAAAAAACTTGAAAATTCTCCTTTGCAGTGGAACGGTGTCCACACTGCAAGGGTTAGCTGTTCATTTGGGTCTAGCAGGCATGAAACAGAATAATTACTTACCCAAACCTCCAAACTGAAACTAGTGACTGCAGTTGTCTTCTTCCCCATGCTCCAGTGGTCCAAGGTCCTGAATTCATCAAGACCATTGCAGAGTCCATGGCCCTGCACTGGATGTGATAATGCAGAGGGACAGTTCACCACTGAAGCATTGCTAAGTGATGCTTGCCAGGGAAGCTGCGGATCGGGTAAGTAAAAGTGCTTTTACTCTCCCCCAGAATTTAAAAAAAAAAAAAAAAAAAAGCAGTTAACCTTTTTAGTGGGGGCACAGCAAATGCTGAGTACTATAGCACTTTGCTTTGTAATTTGCATCAGGTATGTGCAGAGGAAGATGAGGACACACACACATATATATATATATATATATATATATATATATATATATATATATATATATATATATATATATATAAAAAAACTGGACATCCCTCCAAAATTGATGAAAGACGAGAAGAAAACTGGTGTGGGAGGCTGCCAAGAGGCCTACAACAACATTAAAGGAGCTGCAGGAATATCTGGCAAGTACTGGCTGTGTGGTACATGTGACAACAATCTCCCATATTCTTCATATTTCTGGGCTACAGGGTAGAGTGGCAAGACGGAGGCCTTTTCTTACGAAGAAAAACATCCAAGGCCGGATAAATTTTGCAAAAACACATCTGAAGTCTCCAAAAAGCATGAGGGAAAATGTGTTATGGTCTGATGAAACCAAGGTTGAACGTTTTGGCCATAATTGCAAAAGACATGTTTGGCGCAAAAAAACAACACTTCACATCACCAAAAGAACACCATACCAACAGTGAAGCATGGTGGTGGCAGCATCATGCTTTGGGGCTGTTTTTCTTCAGCTGGAACTGGGGCCTTAGTCAAGGAAGAGGGAATTATGAACAGTTCCAAATACCAGTCAATATTGGCACAAAACCTTCAGACTTCTGTTAGAAAGCTGAACATGAAGAGGAACTTCATCTTACAGCATGACAATGATCCAAAGCATACATCCAAATCAACAAAGGAATGGCTTCACCAGAAGAAAAATGAAAGTTTTGGAATGGCCCAGCCAGAGCCCAGACCTGAATCCGATCAAAAATCTGTGGGGTGATCTGAAGAGGGCTGTGCACAGGAGATGCCCTCGCAATCTGACAGATTTGGAGTGTTTTTGCAAGGAAGAGTGGGAAAATGTTGCCAAGTTAAGATGCGCCATGCTGATAGACACATACCCAAAAAGACTGAGTGCTGGAATCAAATCGAAAGGTGCTTCAACAAAGTATTAGTTTAAGGGTGTGCACACTTATGCAACCATATTATTTTAGCTTTTTATTTTTACTTCCCTCCACCTAAAAGATTTCAGTTTATAGCATACATTAAAGGTGGAAAAAGTTCTGAAATGATTTATCTTTTGTCTCATTTTTTTTACATCACAGAAACCTGACATTTTAACAGGGGTGTGCAGACTTTTTATATCCAATGATTTGGAAGGGGTGAACCAATAATTTTGGCGATATAGTGTATGTTGCAGAGGTGCATTGGGAAGCACTGGGGTAAGGTAGCCCATTTATTGTAAGCTGGCTTCCAATGCACCTGCAGCATTTTTATCAATAGAGCATGCCACAACACACAGATGGTACTGATCTGTGTGTTGCAGTACATTAGTTAGGTGCATTGGGGTGCTGTCCAAAATGAATAGTAGCCCAATGCACTGAGCACCTTATAAATGAAGAATTGATGTTCATTATTACATTTCTCTGTTCCCCGCTGACTGCAGAAAAGAAAAACCTTAATGAAAACTGGATATGTGTGTCTGGAGATTCCTCTAGATCTGAATTCTTTAAATACATTCAAACTATAAGCAGGTAAGCCACTTTATTTGGCAATACAGGCAAGGCAGTCCACAGCACCTGTCCGCACAGCATTTTGCAACACAAACTTTGAGCAAAAGACTATTATTTCTATACAATATTTATATAGCACCAACAGTGCTTAATAAAAGGGAAGACAGTTACAATACAATTCAGTGCAAAAGGATTACTGCTATAAAAGTTTTGTATACAAGACTAAATCACAACATTTTTCAATTGATCCGCAGAAGTGTACCATTATATAAGCTATGTAAAGGCCAGCTTCACAACTGTGTCCATTTTTGTATTTGTTACCATCTGTGGTAGCACGACAAACATTTTCATGAAGCATTGGGCAGTGATTTGTTTATGGTTTGACTAATGAGGATTCATTTCATGCAGCGACATCATTGTTGTGAACTTTGGAAGGATCACCGCCCTACTTAAAATCACCAACGACCTACTAACCGCTAAAGCTAATGGCCACTATTCTGTCCTCCTGCTCCTTGACCTCTCCGCGGCCTTCGACACTGTCGACCACCCTCTCCTCCTTACAAAACTGCACTCCCTTGGCATCAGGGACTCTGCTCTCTCCTGGTTCTCCTCCTACCTTTCCCAACGCTCCTTCAGCGTCACCTATAACACTGCCACCTCCTCCTCTCTGTCGGAGTCCCCCAAGGCTCTGTCCTCAGACCCCTCCTCTTCTCCATCTACACCTCCTCCCTTGGCAAACTAATACACTCCCATGGCTTCAATTACCACCACTATGCCGATGACACAAATTTACCTCTCTACCCCCCACCTCACCCCCTCACTCTCCGCTCGCATCGCCCACCTCCTGAACGACATATCAGACTGGATGTCGCTCCATTTCCTCAAACTTAACCTGTCCAAAACAGAGCTCCTGGTCTTTCCCACCCCCCCCCCCCCCATCCTCTCCATCACTACTAATGCCACCATCTCTCCCACCCCACATGCCAAAGTCCTGGGTGTCACCCTGGACTCACACCTCTCCTTCCTACCCCACGTCCAATTGCTATCAAGATCATGCAGGCTCCACCTCCGCAACATCTCCAAGATACGCACATTCCTCACCCCAGACACCATCAAACAACTCGTACA